TAATCTTTTCCAATAAGTTTAAATAGATTTTTACCTTTTATGGGCATTTTACCTTTATAAAGCCATTTTTCAATAAGTGTGCATTATCTTTTGAGTCAAATTCTAACATTTAATCAGTGAATACGAATAAGACATTTGGGCTTTTACCAAGCAAATAAAATCAGTATCAACAAAATTCATCTTTGCAATCCAGACATAAGCTGCACCTGAAGTGGCATTTAGAAGCATTTACACACTGTTTAATGCAGAACATGAATGCATTTAACCTGCAGTTACAAATGCATAGATAATGTTTTGATATTGATTCATTCGGAACGAAACACCGTCATGTTGCTCAGAGACTCAAACAGTGCTGTGGCTTTGTTTGGAATTATTTTTGTTGGTGCAAAAACAGGCAATATGGTGTCTAAAACATAAGTCTCTTAATAAATTGTAAAAAATCAATATCACATTTGTATATGGTAATGTTTGAAGAAAAAAAGGCACTCTTCCGTGTGAACTTGATTAACTATATGAAGTGGTATAAATATAAAAATTTTCTGCCCCCATTTCTTGAATTTGTGATCATTCTGAATGTATTTTAATAGACTGAATCATGCAGTGATCAGACAGAGCGCACTCTAAATGCGCACGTGCACTAGACTTCACGTAATGCGTGCACTCTGTAGGTGTTTTGAATGTTTTTTTGCGTCGTGAGAATATTGAGCAAAATAGCTCACTTGTCATGGTGTTATTTAACTATATCATGAGCTCTACATATTTTACAGGGGACTACAGAGTCTACAGACACAACTTTACCCTGTTCAGTTTTCTGTTCTTGCCCCTTCTGCTGAACAAGGAACTGCTCTAGAAGAGAAACTACATGCCCAAGGAGAGCTGAGTCCTAACCGCTTGCTTGATTACTGGCAGTGGACTGCTGTTGTGTCATGCACCAGGCATTAGGGGAAGCTTCATCAACCCTTCTCTCTCTATCTACTCGTACAGACTGCTTGTCTCTGTGGTGGCTGTCAATTAACGCTTGGATTTCACTTGCATTCCAACTCTCCAGTGGTTTGCTTCAAAGCGCTCTGTACAGACCGGGCTCTGGGCAATGCCTTACAAACATCATTGTCACTTCGTGACTGGGGTCTTCAACTCTGTTCCCTCGTCTTTTTAGGCATTCATCAGCTAGGTCAACAGCCTTATTCAGTCTGATCCAGTACTCTAAGCCACTCTCTGACTGCTTTGGCAACGTCTTATAGAAGTCTCTCATAGGTGTTGTGGAGGAAATTGCATTTCCGAAATGTTGCCTTAGAGTTGAAAAGATGACATGTGGGTCTCTAGCCACATCAATCAGAGGATTGTTGCGAATACATGTTCTCACAATGTCTTTGGCATGGCCCATTAGCTTGTCGAGAATTTCTTGGCCCTGTTCGGATGCACTGAATCCCTTCTTGTTCAAGTAAGCTTGCATCAGTTCTTGCCATTCACCAATCGATCTGTCTTATCACCTCTAAAGGTAGGCGGTTCTTTTGATGTCTTGATGATGTCTAACAATTAGGTTAAAATTTGACAGATCAGGGCTCTGGGGTGAGGGCTGTTGGGCATCTACATAATCTCTCTGAGCATTTTGCCCTGCAGATCTAAGATTTGCTGCAATCTGGTTCCCTATTTCACTACCCAGCTGCTTCATTAAGTCTGCCATTGTTTGCCACTGATTCACTTGTTCACCCCCTGGGGGTTTGTATAGCCTTTCTCTATGAGGCACCGTTGTGTCACTACTCATGCCTTGCATAGTTGTGCTACTGGTTGGTGGGCAAACTGGAGAAGATACCACATTTTGTTCTAACATACTATTTAATTGGGCCCCACTCCTAATTCCAGTAGAAAGCCTCTGCGAGCTTAAAACACCACTCCTTACACAAATAGGTGTCACATTTGCAGAATTAACATCTGTGTCTGACATATGTTCTGGTGTTTTGTTGTGTGTAAAGCCGTAACTGTCCATGTTTAAGTCACACTGCGTATCTACCCCGAAGTTCTATTGGCTGGTGATGTCGATGAAGATTACTTTCCCCGGAGATCTGAGACGGCTGATCCCTTGAGATCCGGGTCACGGTACAAATTTTGTAGCTGACTTCGTCTCTCGCCACAAAGAACCCCACGACACCACTGGCTTCGGTGGACCACGTCTGCAGTTTATTAAAGATAGTACAGGGATTAACACCAGGCAAACACACTCTCAGTTCTTTGGTCTGTCTCGCTCAAGTCCAAAGCTGTTCTGACCATATTTAACAATAAACTCTTTCAACATATAGTGTCATGTTTCACTTGTTTTCTTTCAACATATGTATCAGACATCACATACAACACAACCTTAGACACAAATTCAATCATGTAAATATATCCTCAATATAATAGAATGTTCAATATATATATATACACATTTCTACACACATATAGTTTCATACTTTGACAATACAGAAAATGATATCAATCTAACAAATATGATCGTATAGTGGTAATTATTTTGTTGCAATTACATACCTGCAGTTTATTAAAGACAGGACAGGAATTAACAACAGGCAAACACACTCTCAGTTCTTTGGTCTGTGAGAGTTGCCAGAAGAGAGAAAAGTGAACCCCTGTCCCCATTAACACTGTAACTGCAGCCGATTAACGACTCAAAAGATAATACATGGCTACAAATATACAATTTAAGACATAAAGTGACAATATACTTTTGACAAATTTAACTGCATGATGTTTTAAGAACATAATCCACCTTTTTAATTTTATTTAAGAACCAAAGTTAGCATAAAAATACCCCACCATTAAAAATGGCGCGGGCGGTAACTTGAACCAAATTATTAACAGCTCATTAACACGAAACTCACAATATACTGAAAAATAACGCCACACGAACACACTTTTTGACTCAATCCAGCATCAAAACATGTCTCCCACTGATATCAACCAAAATTTTAACTCAATCTGATATATTTTAATACCATGTCGGAGCACATTTGCGACGTACCTGTCTCACTCAAGTCCAAAGTAGGGATGGGCGTATCGATCAAAAGTATCGATATATCGAAACTGACGATATTCAAAGTATCGATACTCAAACAAAAAACATCGAAGAGGTGTGTTTTATTTACCAGTGATTTTGTTAATTTAACAAAAAAAAAATGCGTACAATATGCATTGATTTGGACGAATAACCTTTGTTAGCCAGTAATTGTGTAGGATAGAACTATTCTCCTGTTCATCTGAAGACACAAATGTTGCAAGACAGAACCGATCCATCACAGAGAGCATTCACTCACTTCTGACAGTGCATTCAAACAGGGCTGCGTTTCCCAAAAGTATCATAAGAAAGCATTGAAGCTTTTGGGAACGGCAGCCCTGAACAATGGTTATCAGAGGACAGAAGGACAGAGTTATTTCACAATAAACAAACTGAAATTGTAGCCTACATAGTCTGTGCAATTACAGTTATTTAAATTGAACGTTGAAAGATAATATTGATCATGTTCTATTCTGTAATGTTAATAGAAATCATACACTATCAGAATAAAAAGGTTGCATTTTATGCATGCAACAGCCAGCATTACAATGAAAATGAACCATGGTTTTACTAAAGTGACCATAGTTCAACTGGAATACTTGTAGATTTGAATCATGTGTAAACAAAAAGCATATTTGAACCATGTGTAAACAAAAATATAACCTAATAATTTACAATTAAGGCGTATTGAATGTTAAAATGCGTTTTAACAAAGTTAAGTGCTTATCATTACCTATTTTACTCTTAGTAATTTAATAATTTCATAAATGTAATAATTTAAAAGTTTAGTTCAGAAGTATCTAATCGGTATCAATATCGACGATACTGCCTTGAAAAATATCGATATCGTATCGAAAACAAAATAAGTGGTATCACTGATCCCTAGTCCAAAGCTGTTCTAACGAGAGCGGGACGCGACTGGGCAATTCAATCAGAGGAAGTGACATCACACAACATACAACTCAATACATTATAGAGACATGAACATAAAAACAAAATAAATATAATTTATTTCTTAGAAAAATTGAAGTTTGCTGGAACGGTCAAACTCAAAACACTACACTTGCACAAAATCTTAAATCTTTCCATGAATGGCTACGCATTTTTTTTCATTTCATCTGAATATTAACATTAGTGAGATTTAGTCAGCTGAAACAGATTTAATTAATCTAATTTTGTCATTATAGTTATTCAAGTATTCAGCAAAACTCAACTTCAACTGCAATTTTAAATAGATTATTTGATTAGTATTTTTACATTAATGACACTTAAAACATATCTAAATATTAATAAGATTGGTTGGGAGGGGGTTGTAAACCTTTTTTTTGCTCTCGCGCTCTCTCTCATAGTTTGTAATTGATTTACTCTTTTACAGCTTGTCAACCTGATTTTGTTCTTAAGCCGTTCTATCTTATTGCTTTCGAATTACAAAAGAGTCATTTAAAAAATGTATGTTTGCACTAGTCCGTTTAATGGCAGGCAGGGCCTATAGGCGATCTAGGTAGCCGCATAGGGCGGCAGCGCAGTCAGGGAGGCAAAAAGGACAGAGATTTTTTTTTGGGACATTCGATTGGAATTTTTGCAGTCGTATCAACAAGTTATCACCCTATTAGTTATTCTAAATATAAATTGAAAGTTGAAAGATAATACTGATCATGTTCTATTCTGTAATGTTAATAGAAATCATACACTGTCAGAATAAAAATGTTGCATTTTATGCATGCAACAGCCAGCATTACAATGAAAATGAACCATGAACCATTAAAACGTTTTATAGACGTCCAGGTCTGACTGGACCGATTTTGGACCTTTTTAGAACATTTTAGAACATTGGTCAAATCCAGATGTGCCTTTCACGATGTTGCACAATGGGTGTGTGATTATTTTATATGCAGGCTTATACTTAAATTATGCAGCAACACATCTTATAAACATCCGGAAGTAAATGTGTAAATGTTTTTAGAGTTTGTGAAAGTTGTTTATGGCCAATTTTTTTATATCCACAAGCCCCAGCACGTCCCATGCTTCAGGTGTTCTGGCACTGCTGCATCCATGTCTGAGTCTGTATCATTTGGGCTTCACCTCTTCACAGCATCTGAGGAAAGAGAATATGAATATAAAAAAAAAAATAGTAATAACTTTCCTTCATAGTACTGTAGTGGCACTCCCCAACCACTTTTAGACCGGCATCGTGATGCAAAACACCCTGATGTACATCCAAAAATGTCATCAAAACCCAGCAAACATTTGGACGTTTAATGACCGTTGAAAAGACGTCCCTCCGACACGTCCCGTCATGGTTGAAAAATATATCCAAAATGAAAATTGAACCGACGTCTTTGACGTCTTCTGTCCGTGAATTACACGTCTTTTCTGCACGTCCCTGGACGTCTAAATGTGTCATCTTCCGGATGTTTATAAGATGTGTTGCTGCATAATTTAAGTATAAGCCTGCATATAAAATAATCACACACCCATTGTGCAACATCGTGAAAGGCACATCTGAATTTGACCAATGTTCTAAAAAGGTCCAAAATCGGTCCAGTCAGACCTGAACGTCTATAAAACCTTTTAATCACGTGTATCACAACAATAACACATTTGTGGACTAAAGTAAAAAGAAGAGTGTTCTAATTTAGCACGTATTTTATTGTGAATACTACATTAAAAAAAATGTATTCCATTTGTTAAACAGCTACTATTCAAACAAGAAAATAAAAATAGTAGAATGTGGTTAAGTCTGAGTCTATGGCAATGGCATTTTCTCTAACATTTTTACATTAATGCTAAGCAGCCATTAATCAAACAAGAAAATAACAAAAGTACGGGAGCACAGTGAATACATATATAACTATTTTTAGTCTTTCAACAAAACAAAAAAATTCAACATGTTTACTCATTTTCTTGGTCCACAAACACCAGCTCTTCCAGGAGTGAGATTCATGTGCTCCACCACTGATGCATGGAAGTCAGAGCTGTGGCAGTACTATTTTTTTCCCCGTAACAGTCTTGCATTATTGTTAAACAGCCATAAATCAAACAAGTAAACAACAAAAACCAGCATCTGAGGAAAAAGAATATGAATATAAAAAAATTAAAAAAATAATAATAAAATCAACAATAACATGCACCTACTTATTTTGAAAACGTCTTTTAAGGTCCTACAACTAAATTTAAAATACAATGGAACAACATTTTGCGTCCGTTTCATAAATTATGCATTATAAATAGGTAATCAACATTTATTACGTTATTTTACTCTAGAATAATCTTATGTAAGTAAAAGATGTTTTGCATTAAATGTGTGTTAGATTAGTGAAAAAACAGCAATTTGTCCCCTCCCTCATCAATACCACTGTGGTGTCCTTGAGAAAGACCCTTAACTAGGTGTAACTCTGAAAGTTAACAGGACACTTCTGATAAAGACTGGTAGTCTTTTAGAGAACGTCCCTTGAATAGATAAAGGGTAACAATAAAAATGATAAATAATAGACAAGGAACAAGAGATTTTTTGAATGTCATGTTTTTGAAGGCCAAAATTACCTTGAATCATAGTATAAAGGGGTAGCTTTGAATGGCTTCTTTTCGAGTTGGCCACCACCCCTCATATTGAATTTCGCCATCAAGGCATTTGACATATTTACATTTACATTTATTCATTTAGCAGATGCTTTTGTCCAAAGCGATTTACAAATGAAGACAATGGAAGCAATCAAAATCAACAAAAGAGCAATGATATACAAGTGCTATAACAAGTCTCAGTTAGCTCAATGCAGTACACGTAGTCATTTTTTCTAATTATATAATAAATAAAAAGATTAGAAAAACTAGTGTTACTTTTTTTCTTTTAAAGAAAACAAGCAGTAAATGAATAGAGTGCAAGTCTAAAAGGGACAAGTTTTTTTAAAGAACAGAATTAGAATATTATAGAATTTTCAAATGAATTCATTGAAAACAGCACTCAAGTATCTAGTGACATCATGAAAACTCACAATTCATGCTTAAGCAGCTGAGTTCAAGAGTCCCGACAGGAGGCCTTTCTGCATGTTCTTCCTGTGTCAGCGTGGCTTAATATAAATAAATCCACCAGCTCTGTAGTATTTCCTGCTTTAAACACAAAGGATGCTCACACCAAATGTTGATTTAATTTAGGTAATAGAAGTTAATTGATATAGAAAATTTGACAGCATTTTTACACAAGTGCCTAATACTTTTAACAGTACTGTAGCTTTGCAGGTAGGTTTCTTGAAACATCTTGGAGACATTGTCTGTCTCATTTTGTTCTGTTTCTTCACGTCACTCCAGACAGATTGGATGATCAGATCAGATCTCACAGCCGCCTGGACATGATTCTGTGAAAGAAATTACTCAGGATTACTTCACCTCTGAAAAATTTCCACGCAAGGTCAATATTACAATTAACAGTAATGTGCAGCGGGGCGATTGTATGCTAAGTTAAAACATACACTTTCACAACCACTCATCTATCATGTAACAAGTGCATGAACTAAGTGCTTATCAATATAAGCAGTTTTTGTGACAAGTATTGACTGTCAATCATGGGTTACACTGAAATTATGTTTATTATGGCGTAGCCATCATTTCAGAAGTGAAGGGGACAGAAATGTAAAATGTAATAATCCCTTTTTTTTCTAACAGGTTTAATTTATTTTTCTTACTTGTAATTGGCCAAGAAATCAAATAAACTGCTGAACAATGACCAATAATTTGTATTCTGTATGTTCACATCTCCTCGTTTTGGATACGAATAAAACACCAGGTCATGCATAGACTATCTTTTCTCTTTTAATTTAAATCTAGATTTATTCACACTAGCCCTACTTTTAGCCTAATAAATTTAGCTAATTTTAGCCAAACTCAAACTACATTTCAGTTGACAATGTGCGCATTTCTTTCGGTTCCTTCGTGTCAAACAAGTAAAACTCAACCACATTAATAAAATACTACAAAATGTACTAACCCAACAGTAGATTTTTAATAATTTGTCGACTTTCGCAATAAAACAAAGCGCCCTTCTCAAGTCCTCTCTTCTTCGGTTTTATGGCGGGTAGCACCAATGTTAAGGTACATTATCGCCACCTACTGTATTGGAGTGTGAACCAGAGTTTACCCTTTCATAATAAGAGGACTATATATATATATATATATAATATTTACTAAATAAAAAATAAAAAAAATAAATTTACTTCTTAACCTCAAGAAGATTTTCCCACTAAATTATCTTAATCAGCTCTGTTCTCTTAAGATACAAAAATAAACTTTCTAGTCCAGAAGTAAATATATTTTTAAGCTTTAGGTTATCCACTCCCATCTTTCTAAGTTCATTCTTCATTGTTTCTCGTTCATTAGTATACTTTTCAC